TGCAAACCCAGTGTGAGTTCTGGGCTTTGCTTTCCCCCTCTGGTGAGGGGCTTTGGTTTGTGGGCATGTTCTGCTGACTTAGGTGCATAATGGGCAAGGGGGGGAGAATTTGGGGAGACAAGGCCTTAGGCAGCAAAGTATCCAATGCTCACGGTGGCACTCCCTGATAAGCCGACTGGACAGAGCTGACTGGTTTCATTATCCAGCTTGAGAGAAATCCAAAAAGGAGCCAAGGTACCACTTTGATGTTTACTTCTGACTAATTGTGTTTTTCTTTTGAATTTTCTGAGGCATGTGTGTGCTTACAGGCTATGAGGCCAGCTCCTCATTCCCTCCTGTGCCCCTCCACCCACCACCAAAATTAAAATGTTACAAGCCCTAGACTTGTGGTTTTCTGTCTGTATCTTTTTTTTTTTCCGTTTGGTCCTTTCTGATTCAAAAGTTTTCAAGCTTTTGCCTACACCCACAGCTAGAAGTGTGTGGGTGCTCAAGTGAAGGCAGAACATTGCACGTAATTTGGACCTGTAGGAGCTGGCACTGTAAGAAGGGGGAAGAAAGCCCACTACATATTACAGGTATCACAAAGATTAGCAAAACTTCAGGCCACTCCTGGAGGTGCTGCTCAGCCCTCTGAAAATCAAAGCCATATCCTGTTTTCCTAAGCCTGCCTTTGTGTGCCCTGAGGAGCCCTTGCAGACAAAAGGGGCTTTTGTCCTTGATAGGGTATTTTAGCCACTAAACACTAATCACTTATTTGAGCGAGGCAGCAAGGTAACTCCAGCTCCTTGCTGCATTGCCAAAAGCTTTCCGTGCTGGCAGAGCAGCCTCTGGGGAGGATCCCAGAGAGGGGTGGCAGCAGGCTGACCCTAGCCACTTATTGTTTACACCTGTATCTGGCTCCAGCACTGCCCTGCTCAGAGGAGCTGATGAGCCTGTAGGTCCAAGACACTGTGAGGAGCTCCCCAACAACCAGGCTCCCCAAATTCCCCTGCTGCGAGCAATTCTGGGGTGTACAGTGCCATTTTCCTCTGTTCACATAATAAGCTGGAGGTCTGGGCTTTGCTTGTGCCTTCTGACCGGAGACTTCAGTTTGTGGGATGGCTGGTGATCTGCCCTGATTGACCTGAGTGAGCAACGGACACTGCGCTCAGGTGGTGAATGTGGGGAGGTAAGCCTTAGCCAACGAGGTTTCAAATGCATGTGGCAGCACTGAGGATTGGCCTAGACAGACCTGAGACTTGGCTGCATTGCCCAGGCTGAGAGAAATATGAAAAGCCCGAGGTAGCATTTTGAGTGCTGTGTACATTGGGCTGTCGGAGGACTTTCAATTGTGTTCTCTAAAGCATAACACAAGCACGTGTCTGGTTATGGTTTCCAGAGCAAAGGGTGCATGTGTGTGGGTGTGCATGTGCATACAAGCATGTATGTATACAGGTGTGTGCGTGTATATGCACGTGTATGTATACGTGTGTGCCTACTAGTATATGTGTGTGTGTGTAAAGGCAGTTTTAACGAGTACTAACTGTGTGGTTGTCTTGATTTGCCTGGTTTGTTAGGGCTCAGAAGTTTGCCAGCCTTCGCCCCCAGGGCTGGGAATGGATTTCAGTGCAGGAGACATCTGAAAACCTCAGGACGTTCTCACACTCTTGGAGCTGCGACTCTAAAGGGTGGGAAGCAAAAGCCACCATATCTTGCAAGGCTCTCAGGAATTAGCAACATTTAGGGCCCACACTCCAGGTGCTGCTCAGCCCTCAGAGAAATCTGTCCCATAGTATTTTTTTTTTCCTAAGCTTGCCTTTGTGCTTCTGAGAGCCCTTACAAGCAAAGGATGTTTTCTACTTGACAGGGGACTCTAGCCCTTGTTTGAGAGACAAGGAGTGCAGGGCTGGATTAACCCTTTAGCGGGCCTTTGGCAGACAAACTCATGGCTCCCTACTTAATACTGTATATTTATATGACATTTTTTCACTCTAATATGTAAAATAAGCACAACCGGGCCCCTTCTTCACTTAGGGCCCGAGGCATATGCCTTGTTTGCCTCTGCATTAGTCCGGCCCTGATGGAGTGGGTGGACTCCATCTCCTTGCTTGCATTGGTAATAAAGGTTTTTCATGCTACCGAGCAGCCTCTGTCAGGAAAGCCCAGAGCAGGGGAGCAGCAGCCTTAGCTTAATGCAGGGGGGTTTCAACCGGGGGCATTTCTCGCCCATCGGCCGTGGGGGACCCCTGCTTGTCTGACCGCTGGGGGACTCCTGCCTTCTTGACCGGCCGCTGGGGGTACTATGACCCTAGAAGGTTGAAAACCCCTGGCTTAATGAGTTACTGCCTATATCTGTATCTGTCTCCAGACCCTGCCCAACCCAGAGGAGCTGACACAACTTTTAGGACAGGTAGGCAACCCCCGGCATGGGTGATGAAGTGTGGCACTCGAAGACATTTTGCTTGGCACGCATGCCTCTGGGTGGATGGCAGGGAAGGGGCCAAGGCTGTCTGGCCACCAGGATCAGGCTCCCCCGCCATCTGCCCCGGGCATGCCAACATCTTACAAGCTGAAGTTGTGGGTGGTCTTGGCACTCTGCCCAAAAACTCGGCCCTGGTTTAGGAGCTCCCAACAGCCAGACTGTCACTGCCTCGAGTGAGTGCCTTAGCACGTGACACCCCAAATACCCCTTATTTTTTTAAATCAGATTAGCCCTTCTAATCAAGTTTCACTTGCACGTTGTGGCAACAAGAGCCTTCAGGACAGAGGGATGCTGGTTTCACTGCCCAGGTTGAGAGAAATCTGAAAAGCCCAAAATACCTTGTTGTGTGATGTATGCATCGGACCACCAAAACCTCAATTTTGAGTTCTCTAAGGCAAAAGGCAAGCATGTGTTTGGTTACAACCTCTTTATTTGAGTTGCATGCCACCTTTCCTGAGGAAGGCTCAGGGCAGCTTACAGCAAGGGAAATGCAGCAACTCAAAAGGGAAAGTCCAAAGGTAAAACAAAAGAGCAAAAGAAAACAGATGGTAGCTAAAATTTTGGTGATTCGTTAAGGTGGGGATCTTTCCCCCAGTTTCAAAGTTTCTGAGCAAGTCCTTTTCTAACATGAAAATTGAGATTTTTCTGTGCATTATTCAACTGATGACATCTCTATCACAATGCCTCTCTCTGAAACGTTGCTGCAGGAGGAGGTAGAACTGCATTCGCACTAAATGGGGTTATGCATCGTGCTTGTCACTGAGTGACAGCCTTAGCTCTGTTGCTGCCAAAAACATCCTATGGGCGATCAGGTAAATGGGGATAGCAACATAAGAGACCTGTGTAGGACTGATGTGCAGCATTAGACTCCTGCTGGCAGTAACCACCCAAGAAATGTTGCTGGATAGCCCTAGATAATACATACAGAAATGTCGGGTATCTCAAGCAAGGAAAGTATCTTGCAACCTTGGTGCAGCAGCCATTCAAGCTTCACAGTGCGGGGGAGACACTCCTGCGTCCTGAGCATGTCACCTCTCATTGGGTCTCGGATATTACTGTGATGAGCTTGGGCGGATTGATCTAGCGCCAGTGAATTTATGTCTCATTGAATCCCTTTTGACAGATTTTGTGACGTACATTTTCCTTTGGGCGTCTCTCTCATCTTTAGATCGTAAACTCCTCGGGGCAGAGCCCAGGCCTTCGTTTTTGTTTTGTGCAGGGCTGCGCACGCTGTCAGCATTCACTAACTAATGGCAAGGATGTGGGCTGAGGCGGGTTGATAGGCAGGTGGGTCAGGAGAGTAGAAGTACGGTACTGTGACACTGCAGGTTCATCGCACGATAGGAGCAGGTGGAGAGGACTGCTACATTTGCACATAATAGGATTTGTATGAGGGAAGGGGGCGCTGTGTAACGGGCTGTGACTGCAGCTCCATTGATCCGAGTCCATTTATGCTCTGAAACAGCCCTCACTTATGGCCTTGAGCAAGTCACTTAGGCTCTGCATATCTCAGTGTCCCAACTTGGGATAACAAGTTGATAACAGGACAAAGAGGCTACATTCTCCTAAGGAGGGTAGAGACATTAACTGCTGACAGAGGATCAGATTTGGGGTGAAAAGGGCTGAAGGAGACAAAGGCCCTAGGAAAGTAAGTTAGTGTGTCGTTCTCTCTCATTTGAGTCTCTGATTCTAGACGTGGGG